CCTGAGACCTTAGAACTTAGATCTTAGCTCTTTCAGCTAGGCTCCTCTGACCCCCAATGCCTTTCAAAAGTATCTTTCGTCTCCGGACTCCTACTTAATCTACGCACAGCCTTCTCCAGATCGCTGAGCCCTTCTTCATTCCGGAACGAGAACCCCGGCAGACCAGACTGCGTTCACCGGGTTCCCTTGCAACGTTCCTACAACCTGGTCCCCAACCTGGCCTCCCCTGATGTTCCCGGGAGGAGTAATGAGAGAAAGGGAATCCGTGTGGAGAGGTCAGGAGGCGCTTGCTCTGCCAGGTGAACAAACCCCGGCTGAGACCGAGAAGGGGCAGAGGAAGACACAGAGGCAGGTCAGGGATGGCAGAGCCACATCGGGGCCACTCCAGCCAGCTGTCCTGGCTTCCGAGTTACAAACAAACTAGTGGCCTGGCGCACGAAATTCATGGGGGGGGGGGGGGGGGGGGGGGTTTCCTCCATTTCTGTCATTTGTGACCTGTTTCTTTGTCTCCACATTTTGGCAATCTGGGAGCCCTCGGGAGATGTCCAACTGCCGGTTTAGGACCAATCACCCCCAAATGCCCCCCATTGCCGGCCTGCTCGCTCCCAACTGCCACCCCTGCTGGCCTGCTCGTCCCCAACTGGCCCCTCCTGCCAGTCTGTTTGCCCCCAAATGCCCCCGCTGCTAACCTGATCACCTCCAACTGCCCTCCCCTCCTGGCCTGATCACCCCTAACCAGCTCTGCCTTGGCCCGCCACCATGGCTTTGTCTGGAAGGTCTCCCGGTCTAATTAGCATATTACTCTTTTACTGGTATAGATACATTTCTATGTGACTCGACTTACGGTTCAGGTTGGAGTCTATCATTTCAGTAGAAAAAGTCCTACCTTCCAACCACTTCCCACTATTACCGCAGTCACGTTTTAGCCAAACTTGATATTCCTGTTTCTCAGACACATCTGAACTCGGGCAAGACATTTTCTCAAACTGGGGCCCCTTTTCCCTGTATTTCTACCTGTCAAATTCCTACCCACTCATCCAGCTCAACTTAATAAGTCGCCTATGAATGGTAGGCGCACAAGGGATGGTCATTCTACTGCTACCTGAAGTGGAGGAAAAACAGCACATGTGCCTAAAAGTGATAGCTTAAATGCTAAATAGAACATCCACACAATAGAAAATTACACCAACATTAACATGATGGTGAGGACATGTATATGTTTTACAGGGAAAGATATTCTTGAGACAATCCGTAAACAAAGAAGGTTCCAAAACTCTTTGTATTGTATGATCTATAAATGTGTAATCACTGGAGAGAAAGAGACCAACTAGCCAAAAGAAAGTGTCAGGAGAAATCCACGTCACACAACCCCAGGAAAGCACCTATGCTCGGCAGTGTCAGCAGAGGGCGCTCCTGGGCAGCTCAGCCCTCAGTCTGGCCCGCAAAGTGCACACTACAGAGCAACAACCCATTAGCTGACTCACGCTGCTGCAGATGGAAATGTAGGCAACACAAAGGACGATAAAGAATATTAAGTTTGCGCCGAAACCGGTTTGGCTCAGTGGATAGAGCGTCGGCCTGCGGACTGAAGGGTCCCAGGTTCGATTCCGGTTATAAGGGCATGTACCTGGGTTGTGGGCACATTCCCAGTGGGGAGTGTGCAGGAGGCAGCTGATTGATGTTTCTCTCTCATCGATGTTTCTAACTATCTCTCTCCCTTCCTCTCTGTAAAAAATCAATAAAAATTAAAAAAAAAAAAGAATATTAAGTTTCCACCTGCCCATTAACACATCACTCAAGTAGGTCTAGATATGTTCTCCCTAATTTTGAAAGATACTTAAGGGATGGTCTGATGTAAAAGCTATGAC